ATTGATGATGATTAATGATCGATTTGTATATATATTTACTATATTACATTACTTACTATATTCTCTGTGCTGATATATATTTATGCTCTTCTCTGATTGTTTACTGTTTATAGAGCAATTCCTAGTCTGTCAATCTGTAAGACATTCATAGATTTTGATGAATGCAATGAAACGGTTCTAGACTTGCTCTGGGTTAAGCCCGCACTGATAAGCATTTATTGATACAAGTTCACATTGGCATTTCATTTGTTTACGACTTTATTCACAGATATTTATAAATGTATATTATTCATTATTCATTTATATGCTTAGTATATTTCAACTTGGATGTCTCACACTTCACTTGCTTATTCTCACTCTTCTACTCTATTTCGTTGGCTGCTCTTGAGCTGCGCGCTGGCCCTCGTCTCCCTTGACATCGCTCAGCACAAATTTGACGCTCAAGACGCGTCCATTTTGGTCGACAATCGTTTTGACCAGTTCCCCGTTTTGATTGCGAATGTCCGTTGGCGTCAGATGCACCTGAGACAGAAAGTTCTCGATGGTGCTATCCCTAGGCGGGGATGGTGCAAGTGGTGCAAGTGGTGCAGGTGGTGCTAGTGCTGTCGATGGTGTTAGTGGTGCAGGTGGTGCGAATGCTGCTGGTGGTGCAGCCCCTGTCCAGTTGTTGACGCGCACCGTCGTCTTGATTGTCCTGCCATCGGGCAGGACACGGGTGCGCACCACTTCGTTGCCCAGCTCCTTGGCCCGCTGTATGTCGTCGTCGGTGATGCCGCCGCGATTCAGCATCTCCCGCACATGCGGCTCCAGCTCGGCGGCCTTTGGTGGCTCAACCGAATTGAAGCTGCTGCGATAGCTAATCTTTGTGGCGGGCAGCTCGTCCAGATTGATGTTGGTCACCGGCTTGAGAGGCTCGCCGAACGCGTTGGGCGGCGCCGTGGGCAGGGGTGGATAAGCGCCGTTTTGTGGTTGGGGGGTGGGGAAAGAAGGTGACGTGGGCACCGGCACGGGCTTAACTGTAGTCGTTGGCACTAAACTGGGTAGCTCTCCGGCTGCTGGAAGAAATCCAGTTCCAGCTCCAGCTCCAGGTGCAGGTGCAGCAGCAGCTCCATCTACTCTTGGATTCTTAAACCATGGCGGCAAGCCCTGATCAAATAGGGCAGGAGTAGATGGCTGCCAGCTGGCTGGCAAGCCTCCGCCAACTTCGCCGCCCAGCGTGGTCCACGTACGAAAGAGTGGTCCACTGTAGGTGCGTGTCCTGGTCGTAATCGTATTGCCCTGTTCGTCCTGCTCCGTTTTGGTGCTTGTCTGCGGCAAAATGCCCGTCGGGAATTCAAAGCTGGGCCAGTTCGGCTTCAGATCTGCGCCCGCTGACCAAGTGGCGCTGCCCACAGGTCCGCGATATGTCTTGATGGTGGTGGTCACCGTGCGTCCTTGATCATCCTTCTCGGTTTTGGTGCTTGTCTGCGGCGTAACGCCCGCTGGGAACTCAAAGCTGGGCCAGCCCCGAAAACTTGGCCAATGCGCGTCAAATGGCGAACTGCTGCCCAGGCTGAAAGTGCGTCGATTGCCTACACTCGATGGCAAGTACTCCCAGTCCGTTTGAGGATTCTCCGCGGGCTTGGGCGTCGACTGCGTCGGGGGCGTCGTTGACGGCAGCTGGTCCTGGCTGGAAGTCTTGCTTATGCTTTGACCATCCGGCGAGAGCGTGTAGGTCGTCGTATGCAGCTGACCCTGTGCATCCGGCTTGCTGACTATCACCGGCTGCTTGGTTCTCCACAATTCTCCCAGTGCCGCTGGCTCCATGCCTAGCTCGATGGCCTGGCGGGTGAGAGCAACGCTGGGTGTATCATTAGTCCCGCTGCTGCTGCTGCTGCTGCTGCTGCTGCTCGTTGCGGCGCTTAGCTGAGATAAGCAGGATGACGTCATTGAGCGCACTCAATTAAAAGGAAAAACTGACCTACCTTCAGGGCCAGCAGGCAGAACAGAAAATAATTTGCACCTTTCATGCTGCGAGAGTTGAACAGAAACTGAGATCAGCACTCCACGGGCTGCCCACTAAATAGACT